AAAGGCGAGCTGCAGTGTGACCAGAACGACGGAATTACATTTACCCGGTACATGTTTTTAATTTAGTTTCACCGCTGCAACCGTGTGGGTACAAAACATATTGCTTATCAGCTGTTATGATAATATTATCGTACGACAGTTGAATTTATATATTGAGTTGATTTATATGTGCAGTGTTTACCAACTTATGGAAAAAAGTGGTCACACTGTCGCTGGCCTTCTCGACTACCTCGTTGCTGAGTTCAGGACATTATGATGTTTCAGCTTTGTATATTTTCTTCCGTGGGGATTTCCGCTGTTAAATTTTGGAGGTATATGAGACAAATTTGTTGGATAGGAGTATTGTTAGCTGTTGTGCGATGCCGACAAGTTGGAAATCTCGTTACGGCTGTCTTTTCGAATGTGATGACCCCGCAAGTACACGTCATGTAAGTATATATAAATATATATATATATAGGTACATTGTCTTCTCGTAGGTATACGGGTCGTATCGGCAGCTGTCTCCGGCTATCTCTGGTCCGAAATTAATTACAAGGCACCGGTAAAAACGGCCCTGCATTGTTGTTCGATTAAGGGCGCTGATTGACGGGTGCGGATCGTTAGCGTTTCGGGAAACGCTGGTTAATTGACCTGTTAAACTGCTGCATCAGGTGGGAATTACATTTCACCCTTATCGCCTCACCCCTTCCCCCCTTGGTCCCGGGTTCGTCTGCAGATAATGGTCTTCCCAGCCTGGAGCTCCGCTGCCCTCCCCCATCGGTCATCCCGAAGGATACGACGTATAATAATTATTATTGTTTCATCGAGTAAACCGGACGGGCCCTTAGCGCCGCCGTTTCCAACTGATAATTATTATTTCGCTGGCTTACGGTCAATATATAGTACAGTACCTCCTACCCCTTGGAAGCCGTTCTATTATAATATCGAACCTCGCTTAATGTGTGTAGTCTGAACGCAACAACCTACTCGGTTGACTCGGTCAATTAATCAAAATTACCACGGCTGTGTGCTGAATCGATATGGCCTATTAAATATTATTATTATTACTCGAAGGGAAAGTTATCTGTCCGTTCGACTTTCATACATGTACATACAGCGACCGATTAACTCTAACTGATATTATATAAATGCTATTAGTAATGACAAAAGTCCAATCTGGACTAATTTTTTCAACATCAGAAATCAAAATCCTCCCAAGGGTATTAGTTTAACCATATTTTACACCATATAACCTTAAAAATATTATCACTATCTCAGGCGATAAGCTTGATGTCCTATCCATATTATTTTCTTATCTATGGTTATGATAAGGGACATGTTTGGGATCCGTATTGATATATGTGAAACGAAGAACGTTCTAGAAGTGGGGAATAGGTTATTTTGGCATTTCATAATATTGAATGAAAGAAATGTCGGACATTTTTCAACGGGTAGACGACGGTTTAAGATTGAGATATTTTTTATACATCATTTGAAGTAGAGTAGTTATTTGTTTAATATTTTTTTATAGCTAATAAAGCCCATAAATCTTCATTGCACTCTTTCAATTTGATAAATGGGACAATGGGCACCATACTATTGACACAGATTAAATAAAACCAGATAGTGCTGTCCATAGTAAACAATAGATTTAAATAAACGATTTTGTATTGGTTTAAACTCAACGCAGTAGGGCCAAATTATAGTGCCGAAAATATTGTAAACTGATAAGAATTAGTGATAATAAATGGTTGATAAACGAAGGTCGATGGTAATAACATTACAGATAAAATGTCTATGACCACACTGTAGAACGGATGGATTATTTTAGTCACACTGTCCTGAGATTATTAAAGTTTGTTTACATTTTTCGATTCGTACACTATCCGGTTTTATTTAATCTGTGCTATTGATCCATATTCTATAATACTGAACCGACTTAGAGAGCGGAAAAGAATATATATTTTAAACAATAAACGCCAGCTTCAAAAGTAGATTTAATTAGAAACCCTAATCTGATCTAGTGGTTGTTTTTTGAATGAGCTGATAAATAATTATCAGATAAGAGGTGAGGATAAGAGATAAGAGATTAGAGATGAGATATTAAAGATAAGAGATTAGAGATCAAATATTAGAGATAAGAGATTAGGTACTCCAAATTAGGATATAAGGATTTAATGATATATAAGGATGGTTTGGCCAGAACGTATAATTAAGTCTATACTATCATCATATGTATCAAGGAGATTTTAGATCGGACAATAATCATATAGTTATCAGAACTTATCCGTGTATTGATATATCTGCATAAAGCGTGGATACTCTTTTTACTCTAACTCGAAAATATCCATTGCAACGTAACATCAAACCAACGTTTCAAAAAACATTATTTAACCCTTTGCCGTGAACGAGATGTCATTGCGAATTAGCCTTCCGGACTCGACGGTGTTGGTCCTGTATTTTTTTTTTTTTTTTTGTTGCTATGACGGACAGAATCCCCATGCCGTTATGGGCTGTGTATTTTGTTTGTTTTGCCGAAATTGAAATAACGCTTAAAACAATAATAACGATAACGATGAAATGTCACAAGGGAGGACTTGTGTTTGTTTAAACGTTACAGGCGCCCCCTCAAAACTACATGATGGCCGTCAGCTACAGAGAGCTGTTATGTCAAACCATCGAAACGATATAAGCTGAAACGCGATGGACGGTTCACACTGGTTGCACAAAAATCAAAATCTCCTTTTCAAACACAACACACGAACGCGCTGTCGGATATCACTCATTGACTTGATTGATTATATTTGTCTAAATTTAATTTCCAACAGCTAACGGGCACACCGAATTTAGGATTTTATACTCAAAATGTTATAAAATATACACTAAGTCGTGAGCCTTGGGATAAAGTTGGCCGAGGATCAGTTGGATAGTTCATCTCATTCCAATGGTCTGACTGTCATCAAAAAGTTAATACTGCGGTTGTGTGGGAGTACTTTTATGGAATATGATATACTATTATGTAGCTTATTATATATTAAGAAAAAAAATTGCCCAAAATCATTTATTATGGATTAGGTAACGTAATCGGATTGCTCTCAGAAAGTAATTTCCGGATTGATAATGTGAAATTAGGTCCTACATCACCGTGCCGCTCGTTCAAAAGACGGATACTCTGTCTTGGGGTTTGTAATATATTATTACCATTTTTTTTTTAATAGACCAAAACGACTTTTGAGCTTTTGTAGAATATCCAATTTGTATTCTGTTCATTGGCCACGCCGAAACGACAGGAAACTAGACAGGCGCTGTATTTTTTTTTTGTAAAAATGTATTTTATTAATTTAATTTTTTAATTTTTTTTTTCAATACTAGTCAAGAAAAAAACCGAATTAATTATATTTATCGAGCGTAACAACAATTTCTTAAGAGCAATAATATATCATGTATATATACTATTAAATAAGCACATTCCTCGGCCGTCAGAGCCTGCTGAACCCTCTTTCTTAATAATAAAAAAATTAAGGCATTCCGAACATTCCCCGACGGGATTTAATTATTATCAATAACGTTACATTGCCAAAGAAAATCCAAAAGAAACGATATTCGATTGGCTTTGAGTTGTCGCAGGCGTCAAGTATTAATTTAGTTTTCTTAAAGCTCTTTCAAAACTGACAAATCGCTTTTCGGACGTGACAGCTATTATTATTACAGCCGATCAAGTTGTGTTATTAAGTAACCGTTTTTGTTATGAAATTGATTCCGACAAGGCTGAGCACGCTTTTAATTGGAAAACTTGTGGAGTTTGATAATACTGTTAATTCGATCCCGCCCAAGTCCTATACGCGCGCCTTATGCCTTCAGACTACGCTTTTTGAACAACTAGAAAGTCATAAAAGAGCACTTAATACAACGTCGGATAGTTAATTAAAACTTTAAAGACGGTTAATGCACTTAAACGGGAATAATGCAGCGTGCCTGGCATCCGGCTAATTGACCATATTAGCCGTATCAAAAAACCCTGCTCGTTAATTATTGTGCTAGACAAAAATGAAAATGTTCTTCTAACGTTGCTTCTTCTGTCTCTATATAAAATTAATTTTCTATATAACCTAGTAGAGTTTCCAGAGAATGTCGCATGTTCTGACATTACCTTATCACGCCTAACATTACCTTTTAAGGTATTCAGTGCCTTTTGTACACAAAGAACAGGCGGGGCACGAGTAGTACAGTTTACACCTACTAACGAGTTGGGTTACTTATTTTTCGGAGGAGTAAGGTAAGGAGGTAGGGAAATCCTGCGTGTAAAACTATTTCAGCGCAAATCGACAGAGTTTTAACGATGATGACGCGACATTATTGCGTTTGCCCGTCGAAATTAGAGCCGAAGGAGGAAATGAGATGTGGATTTAAATATTGTTTTTGGCGATTCCGCTGAAACAGTTAAGACACCCCCGGTGTTAGCCAAACTGTCATTACAACTTTGGCAGTATTCTAGCGAGCGAAATGCCATTCAGATGTTAAACTTTTAACGGCTCAAACGCGACGACCTTTGGCGCAGACATAAAACCACACGTCGAAGTCTCATCGCGCACAATTGTGTAATTAAACTTGCACCGAGAATTACAAGCAATAACAGTGCACAAACCCTCCGGAAAGTTTACAGTGCAGTGATAAACAAACGGATACAATAAACGCGTTCCATGTGATTTACGGCTTGTATACAGATTCGAATGCCGAACATTTATCAGTCCAAGTCGTAGTAACTAACATGGTATGAACAGTGTGTCCCAGAACTCAGAATTCAATATAATTTGTACTGGCCCAATTTCTGAACAATTGGTTTGATGTAATCTAAAATTTGTGAAAATTAAAAGCCAGGAAAAATTGCATTACCCGCTAATGCACAGCGTTAATGTGTGCATAAAATATTTTGATTGACTTTCGGCACACGCTGCATATACCCGGTCAACCGAACATGTTGTACTATAATATTAAAAAAGCTTAAATTGTGGTCACTTACTTTTTTGGGAACTCGGTGCAATCGGACTGGTTTAGACTGGTCCTCGAAACACCACCACCGAAAGCATACCTGTAAACACGAAAAAAAAATATCATGTTAGATACTTGACACTGAAATTCTGACTGAAATTAGAAAAAAAAATCGCACACATAAATGTGTATAATATCTCTTCTTGGTTTTCTACGGGTCATTGTCACAACTACTAATCACCTCCATCTATTCCCATCGCTCTCCATTTTATACATATTTTTTTTTTCACTCATTTAGCGTTTTTTTATTTATAAATTATTCACATTTTTTTTACATGTTAAAATTTTTCTAAATTGTAAATATTTTTAAATACTTATTAGCGCGAGGATAAATAGTATAATTGGACAACATGTGTAAAAAAAAATGCACGTTCTTATTGTATTAAAATTGTAAACGTGCGAAAAATAATGAATTTATAATTGAAAAATTATGTTTTACGCTACAGTCACCGTTGTCCATTACAGACACAGGTACTTTTATTATCTCTAATCTCTTACCTCGTATATTTTATCTCTAATACATTACCTCTATTTTTATCTCTTATATCTTAACTTAAACTATTATCTCTCATCTCTATTCTCTTTTCTCTAATCTAGTATCTATTATATCTTACCTCTATTTTTATCTCTAATATCTTAAGTTTAATCTGTTATCTCTTATCTCTATATTTATCTCTATTCTCTTTTTTCTAATATATTATCTCTAATACTTTATCTCTATTGTTGTTTCTAATCTCCCCCTCCTTCCTCGGCCACCACTACCCGCTGTACTTGTATTAAAATAATAGACTTAACACCCGTTGGGCAAATGAACATGGCCGTTTCACATTGTTTTACCTGTGTATAGGGTGTACCCGGACATATATGCTCAATGGTAACCTAGGGGATGTCAGTAAGTTAAAATATTATGAAGTAAGCGAAAAGCCGAGCTGCAGTGTGACCAGAACGACGGATTTACATATTTTATCCGGTAAATATATTCAATTTGTATTTAATACAGTAACCGTGTGATACAAAACATATTGTTTATCAGTTATAATATTTGTCAGTTGAATTTATCTATTGGTCTGCACAGTTGATTACGGTTATCTGTGCAGTGTTTAACGACTTATAAAAAAGTGGTTTATTTATAGTGGTCACACTGTCGCTCGCCTTGAGGACTTGTCACAATAACATAGAGGTCCGTTAGAAAAAATAATCATTCGTGTAGATGACAATGAAATTCGAAGAAAAAAACCGACTCTTTGCTAGGCAATTTGGACCCTCATTTATTTCTTTTGGTTTATTTTGTTTATGAGTCGCAGATAGTATGGCTGCGAGCTCATGTGGGCTGTATAGAGTGTGTAAGGACGACGTCTTCGGTTTAAGTTCAATGTTTGATATGGAATCGTCGACACAATCCGGTCGCGGCCAAGGCGGAAAATCATATTATTATTATACATCCCTTGGCGCCCACAGGCAGCGTGTGGGCAAGACGGTGTTTACACAGTAAACGACCCCCTCGGGTTCGGCGAGCTCATATTACTAGCACTATTATCAATATTATTATTGGAACCGAACGGTTTTCTAAACATCTTGAAGCCCCACAGGACCATTATAATGCACTGTATGTACAGGGCGATCCGTCCAAGTGAGAACACACTGGTTTTAAATACTTTTAAAAACTTCGTCGGCTGTTGGACCAGCCTGTATATAGGTTACCGCGTCTGCTCGCGTGCTCGCGTATGTTATGTTCGCAGCGATAAAATAATAATATTATGGCAAAATACAAGATCGTGTATGGCTCAAGTTTGATTTGATATACATATATATATATTCAACGCACGGAGTAGATAGATTCGAATTTCCATATAAAACGATTGGCACGTTAATTTGGCCGTGCATGCGTGTGACGATCATCGTGGAGTACATTTTTTTCTTAAGGGTGAGGATAAAGGGGAAACTTGAAGGCGGGGTAGGAGCGAAAAACGCAGACAGATTCGATTCAGTCTGTCGCGGATGGATGGCTTAAAAATTGTAATGGTGCAGGGTGTCCCAAAAATAATGGTGGGGTTTCAAACGGCTGTAAGTTGTGAAGTATTGGACCTTTGGGACACCCTGTATTGTCACTATCAAAAACATAGAACAGCTCTGTATTGGGTTTGTGCCGGCAAAGCGGGTCCGTTGAGGTCGGTTTGCAATATTCCGTTAATGATGTACATTTACAACGTGGAATGCGCCCGTCTTTCCTACCTCGGCGGCGAATTTATAGTGTATATATGTATATATTCCATAATATAATAACGTGCGGCTTAACGACCGCGACTGGCAAATAATTAAGTTTTGCCATTTTCCGACATGTACATAATATGATCTCTGTCGATAATTTACCATCATTCATTGCCGTACAAACGACCCTACTAGCTTATAGTAGGATACCTCCTTTTGATGTGCTCAGCCGTAACACGACATTACAGACAAATCAATTTCAATTCATTTGAACATATTTTAATGACCCAAGAGAGTCAATAGACAATTATTTCACATTTAAACGGAATTATTATTGACCGGTAACCAAAATGTTGGTGTATCATACTTGCACAAAGCATAACGTATATGAATATGTACAAATGATTATTTCAAACTAGGTCATAGCAGTAATATACCCATCAAACTTTGTTCATTTTTCAAATTATTTATTCAAGCACTCTCGGATTTTGTAATTAATATTAGTTATGATGATTGCTTTGGGTTTTGTAAAGTTCTTGACAAAAACATGTTTACCTATAGAAATAATAATATAGCGGAATAGTACCACCCAATGTACAAATTAAACATTATGATAATTTCCATTTGTGCACTTCAAAATACTATAATATTATTTCTTTGAAATTCGATTAATTGAAAACTCGAAAGGGGCAAAACAACAGCGAATAAATAATGAACTCTGTATAATTATTATCTACTGCGCTGAAATTGCAATAATATTAATGAACCGTGGCATATTATTAATAAAGTTATTTTCTTGCAGAATAAAATATACAGTTAATATATTAATACAGTTTAATTTAAGTGAACTAGTCAGTATTTTTATTTAAATATGATGAAACATAAAAATACACTTGTATAAAGAAACATTCATTCTTAAACATATATTATGTTATATTTTTGTTTTGTTACACATTTGTCAATAACAGGAATGTTTATATAGTTTGAAGCTTTTGTCTTCGTTGTGGACAATGTAAAAACTATAAGTAAATATGAAAGAAAGATATATTTTTTCCATTCTGCCTACAGCTACCAGCCAAAATCTTGTATGTTTTCCCTTCAAACATTATTTTAATGGATTGAATAAAATCGTTCAGAACGTTTCAGGAAGTAGATGGTAATCGATAAGCTAACTTTGATGAGAGTTGCCACTAATAACAACCTTAAGTGAAAACCACCGGATAAATATGCATATTACTATAAACACTAGGTAAAGATCAAAGTACAAGTGGTTATAGGTTGAGTTTAAAGAGAATAATTGACGATACAGACGGTGGTTTAGGCAATGTGTTCTCACTTTGAGTAGCATGCTAAACATTCGGACGGTTACCCTCGAATTTGTATAAATTTTAACGTTAATCGACCTAGGTCAACGTGGCACAGCCAATTTTCACTTGACGGAAACAGGAACACGGGTTATCCATGTACATAAATCAATTGGTCCAGGACCATCTGTGGAGTGTTCGGTCGCATTGATATTAACGGCCAGTCCGATTTTGCCAGGCAGTCGTCATCATTAATCATATTATATGGCTCTCCCTCCCCCCAGGAGAAAACCTCTACTTCCTTCCCCCCGCCGAGGCTGCTGCTGCCGTTCAACCGAACCGAGGACAATAATAATCGTATTTTCATTATATTATGTTGTTTTTCCGATACCTGTTGGAGCGCACACGAAGCGGATAATATTGCGGGAAAAAGGGCCCAACAAAAACCCAACCGAAACGCGCAATTATTATTATTAATAACCCCAAGGACCTCCGGTTCGAACCTCGTATAATAATGGAAAATCGTTTGTTCGGTGGAGTTTTATTTTTATTGTGAAAACCCGGGCTGCAAGCAGCTGATGTTGCTACTACAAAAATCACATACTGGTAAAAAATGGCCATCCGTACAATACAATAATATATGATAATACTATCACGCTGTATTGACCGGGCGCTTCCGGTATGATATTAATAATATAATACAATACTATAGCATTACAACAACGGCCATCAATCGTCGGTCCGAGCACACAATTAGGGAGGCGCCCGTGACCGAGAAAAATTTCCCCATTTTTTTCATTTATCACGTGCCCCCTGTCGCTCTATTGGTTGGTATATTTTTTTTTTATACACATTTCGGTAAACCTCTCACGGACGACCGTATTATAAATTTCGCGCACGGCCGCCAATGCCACCAGAGGCTATTGTCGACGGTTTATATATTATGAAGAATACAAAAAAAAAAAAAATTATAGGTGAACCGCCGCCCAAGAGTAGGTGAAAAAGGAAACGGACAAAATCCATTTTGGGTAGACCGCTGTATTATACATACATTATTATATAGTAGTGTCAGGCTTCTTCTGACACCGGACCAATTCCGTCATAACAGTAATAATATCGTTTCACGTACATCAATCAGCCAGTATTGATCAAATATAATAGATATAATATGACACATTGAGTTTTCTCACAGCCTAATCGCATCCTTATTGCGTTCAGAGATGTGCATCATTCAGTGTACTTATAAATATGTAAGATTATAGTAGAGATAATAGATATGGATTATGGAGCATCACTCTGAAAATAAAGTTAAGAGTATCCACACTTCATGGAGATACATCAAGTTGTAGGATATATATATATATATATATATAATAAGGATATAATGATATATTAGGATATTTAAGGGTATATATAGATATAAGGATATATAAGGGTATATAAGGATATAAGGATACATATAAGGATAGTCAAATGAATTTGTTAGGTAGTCACTTAATTACTGGCGAACCATGGAAATTTATTTATG